ATCACCATTAAAAAATTTTTAAAGAATAAAAAATTAAAAAAACGCTCGTATAGACACAGCCTATCACAGTTGTGATTATATTCCTAGTAATAAACCGTTTCTTTTTTTTTTTTTTCATTAATGCTTGATATACCTTGAACTTGTTGCAAAACCAAATACCTGAGTGGAAGATGAGCCTGGCCCACCCTCTGGGACAGTTACAATGGGCAGGAGAGTGATTTTAGCCATGTCATGTATTTCGTCGTCCGCAGCAAGGTCAGTGTATTCTTCAAATACCAAATCCAGCATCTGTAAAATGTATGCGCATGGACTAGCTTCACATATATCTAACCCAAAAATATTTTTATATAGTTAGTAAATCAGCTCCAGAGGCACTTAGCTTCTTTTCAGTTCTCATATGTGCTGGCTCAAATCAGTCCTATTCAATGAAGAGTAAAGGCTATAGGCACGAGCTCGTGCACGTTGACCGGAAATGGCCATACGCACGACGTGGAGAGCTTACTGTAAATATTGTCAAATGCCCTACAAAAAAAAAGTAAAAAAAAAAGAGGTGTCTAGCGTTACGTCCAACGCTGTGGCTAGCGTTACGTCCAGACAGAGCACTGAAATGGATATGCCTAACCTTCTCCCCCACCCTCCTCTCTCGCCCCTGTGAACCTAGGCAAGGCGGCGATTTGGACGTACGGTGTGGCTAGCGTTCCAGACGGAACGATAGCTGCTACTAGAGTTCCGCCTGGAACGCGGAGCTAGAGCTCGTGCCATTTGGGTCACCCTTTTCCGACGGCGCGTGTATCATTGGGGGGCTCGTTAACACCCCCCCCCCCCCTCCCCTGCATTCACGCCGCTTCGCGGCGACAGTATGCGGCTGCTAATTACAAAACTAAGAGAGAGTTTTCGTAGACCATGTTTCGTTCACCGCTAAGCCCTCTGCAACGAAGAAGCCGCTACTGCGCCTGTGCGCCCATGCCCTTAACTGTAGAGTTCCGACATCATAGCAAGCTGCGTAGGGCATTGCGGGACGGCGAAAACGGTCTATGAAAACTCCCTATTAACCCACTTAGCCCTCCGTACACGCCGCCCAGCCAGCAACCCAAACCCGCTATGCCCTATTGCACCTCCGGCCATTTAGTTCAGCGAAGTTTCGTCGACAACATGCCTTCATGTCTTTCAGAGATAATTGTAAAAGAGAAATGTAAATACCGACAAAAAAAAAATCGAGAAGAAAAAAAAAGAAGTAAACCCACACTGCGGTTCGAACCCGGGCCCGCTGCGTGTAAGGCAGACACCTTTCCACTACACTACACCACCACTTCAGAAAGGATAAAGCCTACGGACTCCGGAGTGCACTTCAAACGGAAATGGCTATACGCACTCCGCTAGTCTCATATAAAAGGAATAGTCACAACAACTCATTCTTTTAAGCGGTGGCATAGCGTAGTGGTTAAGGTGTCAGCTTCGTACGCTAGTGGACGTGGGTTCGATCCGCGGTGGTCCCACTTTCTTTTTGTTTCGTTTTCTCAAACATTTTGTTTTGTCGAAGCATTTGGCAATATTTACCTTTTTTTTTTTTTTTTTTTTTTTTTTTTCCCCGGTGAACACTAAAAGATTCGTTGCCGACGAAACTTCGCAAAACTAAATGGTACGGGACTCCCTTTCCTGATGCGATCGGGGACAGCGGGGCTTGGGTTGCCGGCTGGACGCCGCGAAGCGGCGTGTACTGGTTACGTTTTGTAATTAGCAGCCTCACACTGTCGCCGCGAAGCGGGGGGAACGCAGGCGGGCTCCCCAGCGATACACGTGCCATTCGAAAAGGGTGACCCGAGCGGCATGAGCTCTCCGCAGAGTGCGTGTAGCCATTTCCGTCCGAAGCGCACTCCGGAGTGCGTATAGCTTTACTCCTTCAGAAACTAGCCTTCAACATTTGCTTTATACGAGACCCAACTTGGACGTTACTTTAGTGGCGACCATCGTTCCGCCTGGACGGAACTCTAGACACTTCCTTTTGGATTACAATGTCGCTTGCTCCCGTTGCTTTCATGCGGATTGCCTCGTCGCGCGAGTGACCGAGCGACAGCGAAGCGGCTCCTTGCATTGACGTCACATCGCACACATTTGCACACCAAGTAAAAGGAGGAGAGGGTAGCTGCTTTTGTAAGAATTTTGAGTGACGGGTTAATCTTCTATAATCTTCTGGGAGGAGAATAGCGACGCCTGTGCAAATCCGGAAGGCACAAAGGAGGGTCCTGATAAGAGGGGAGCTCCTTCTCCCCCTCTTCTCTGGAGGGTATCGGAAATGACGTCATGTGCAAGGAGCCTATACTTTACTCTTCGCGCTAAAACGTCATTTCCTCATATAACATGTACCCTTTCCAAGATAGATTCGAAGATGACGGTGGTTTAGGCGGTTAAAATCTTATCACTTCGATATTTTTTTCTGGATTAGGTGGTTCACAGCTTCGCAGTTCGGTGTCTTCTCTATCCTTCGTTTACTTAGCTTACTGTGACCTGCTACAGTTCGAGCACGGGGAAAATGTCAACAGAAACGAGGCACTTGCCTGAAACCTGACAGAAGACAGTTTGATGGAGTTCCCAAGAACGGGGCACGTAGCCACCGCATGTTTCAAAGAGTTTACCGATCCATCCTCGAGCTTGAAAGACCTGGCAGCCTTTAGGTGAGGCACGGTGACCAGACACCGCACGGGCGGCATTGTCGAACGCTGCTAAAGCCACGCGAGCAGCTAGGCGCGAAAATACTGACATTCGTTTGGCTCGTCAACTCGGTAAACTCGCCAACCGTCATTCGTCACCACCGCAAGTAACGCGCCAAACAGAACAAAGGAACGATAAGTGGGTGAAGGCTGTGGGTGGATAGATGGCTGAACCGATGGTTAATGGTGTATATGTGGCAGCTTGCGCCACCTAGTGTAGCTTAAGCACACAATATATTCCGGAAAATACTTGAGGAACAAACCGCGCCAAAACTAAGAATTTAAACAAAAACACTTTACTATTCGTAAAGACAGGGGACGGGAGAACACCATCTTTCAATTTTCAACAAACAAATGATTTATTGCCGGACGCTTCTCCTTCGGAGTTCCACTACAGGAGAGGGAAAGTTAAAAGGAGGGGGAAGGGGAAGGGGGCGGACAAGACAAGGCCCCGGGAGAAAACTCGGGGAAAGTAAAGCGGTAAAGCGCAGAGACAGCGGGAAGGAGGGGGAGGAAGGAGGCATCCCGATTTCCCTCTCAGGAGTAGGGACCACTCGCCCGGCCCGCCAAGGACGGCAACTCCGGTCTAAGGAATGTCACCTCTCTCTCCGACAGCGACAGCGAGGCCGAGGAAATGTTCTTCGGCGCCTCTTTTATGGGGTACGCCTCCACGATCTCGCGCCCGTAGCGGTTCTTGTTGGCCCCCAGAACACGCGCGGACGGGAACTCGGGGGCACATGGAGCGCAAACCTTGAGGTGATGGACCATGGGGTGTTGGGAGTCCCCCTCGTTTTTTTCTATTTCTCTCTCATGTTCGCGCAGGCGGTCGTTGAGGCAGCGGCCCGTCTGTACGATGTACTCTGCCCCGCACGAGAAGGGCACGGAATACACCCGTCCGACCGCGCAGGGAACGAAAGGGGCCGCGTGCCTCTTGGCGCGGCCTCAACTGCCACCTGCGCGAACATAGGAGAGAAATAGAAAAAAAAACGACGAGGACTCCCAACCAGGGGCGGATGCAGGAATTTCCTGAGGGGGGGGTCAGGTGTTGGTCAGCGCACCACATGTTTAGGACCCCCCCCCCCCCTCTCCCTCGTTTCACGCCCTAAATTTTACACATGCAGAATTCAAGAGGGGGGTCAGGACATCCGGACCCCCCCTCTAAATCCGCCCCTGCTCCCAAGGGGGCCATCAAGAACCGCTACGGGCGCGAGATCGTGGAGGCGTACGCCATAAAAGAGGCGCCGAAGAACATTTCCATTGACTTAAAACGAAAGAAACACACAAGAGGACGAAACAGACGACACAGCTTTCGACTTGCAGCTACAGATTTACTGGGGCGGCTAGCCGCTCAGAGCTCGACTTGGGGAGGCGATGGGGAAAGAGGGGAGGGCGATGAGGGGAGGTGTAAGAACACAGGGAGACCGTTGCGGGGGCGAACACAGCGGGCTGTCGAGGGAGGTGACATTCCTTAGACCGGAGTTGACGTCCTTGACGGGCCGGGCGAGTGGTCCCTGCTCCTGAGAGGGAAATTGGGATGCCTCCTTCCTTCCTCTCCTTCCCGCTGTCTCTGCGCTTTACTTTCCCGCAGTTTCCTCCCGGGGCCTTGTCTTGCCCCCTCTTTCCCTTCTCCCTCCTTTTAACTTTCCCTCTCCTGTAGTGGAGCTCCGAAGGAGAAGCGTCCGGCAATAAATCATTTGTTTGTTGAAAGTTGAAAGATATGTTGTCCCGTCCCCTGTCTTTACGTATATAACTCTTTCTGAAACCTATATCATTACCAACGCGCTCACTAACAAGTTTACTACTCGACAGCTCTCAAAATTGAGGATACGTAAACGGCGTAAACAGGCAACGTCCAGAAAGTAATGGCGGCACCTTGCACCGCATAGAGCGCCGAGCTCATGGTGCTCATGGTCGAGCTGCTTTGCCGGCTTTGCCACACTCCGCCATTGATCTCTATATTGCTCTCCGCCACCCCGCCAAAGTTGAGTGGAGTGTCGGAGACCTCTTTTCAACAGAATGAAAAAACATTTCAAGGGCACAGCAATGCACAATTTTGAAGGGCTGTTCTCATGTTAGCCATCAAACGCATGTGAAATTATTAGGAACGAAACTATACATATGCATCTACGTATCCTTCGATTCATCTACCCAAAGCCGTATGCAGCCAACGCCACTGATCTCAATGGCCAACGCAGGCGCGTACGCGCGTACTTTCGGAACGGATACGTCTTTGGCTTTGCTTGGTTTCGTCCACAATTGTCATAGAGATCAGTGTCGTCCACTCGTCCACGTACTATGAGAAGCGGCAACTCTTCAGATAGCGGCCATTTTACACCTCCGGCCCCCTCCAAAAAGAAAAAAAGTATATACAAGCTCGTTGAATACAGCATGGGAATGTACCTACATCGTTGGAAAGTACTAAGGGTAATCATTTTGCTTTCTGGAAAAAAATGTGTTTTACACCTGGCCGCTGGAAATTGGAATTAAAAAAAAAATGCTGCAAGCAAAAAACGCAACTAATTTCTACGTGTGTTTCTTAGTATATTATTTATGATGTTATGTTATGTATTAAGACCAATGAGAAATACACAAAGGTCTTTTTTTTACTTTCTTTTTAGTATCTACTGGTTGTTTGGTGATCTACTGATATGTATGGGGCCCATCTACTGACTTCGATTTTTTTTTCCATCTGGTAACGCTGGTCCAGCATTTGCTGGCACTGCTCGCAGCGCGTGGAGGGCTGTCACGGCTTCACTTTACGTTGGCTGCGCTCATGTGGAGTGGCCGCGTGGGCACCTGCTTCGGTTCCCCGTCCTGACCACGTTGTCCCCACTCACGTGGTGTGGCCGTGTGGACACTTGCTTCGGTTTCCCGTCCTGACTAACGAAACAGCCACTGCAGAGCATCACATCCGAGCGACGTCGTACGCATCCAAAGGTATATATGACCCAGGACGCGTTGATTTCGGTCTCTGCCTGCTCCTGTCAATTTGACGCACGCTGCGTTCCGCGTTATCTTCCACCCGCCACAAAATCTCGCCGTGGAAGAAGCGCCGGGGAGAGAGAAAGTCAGCTTTTTCCTCAGAGCAGAGCCACCGAAAATTGGCAGCCTTGGCGGAGCGGGCGAATGAACATGCTGGTGGGAAAGAAATCGGGATGCCGCCTTTCCTTCCGTTCTTTCCCGCTATTTCGGCAAGTTTCGTTTTCGCACCGTTCCCTTCACGCGGCTTTCTCTGGAGCCACTCTCTATAGCACTGATGTGATTGCTGCCCCAAACTGCGCCAAGGGGCTAACCCCGCTACGTCCTGCTACGGTAGCCTGCGCCAAAGGACGAATATTGGTCGCCTTTGAAAACCGAAACTAAACCGGGTACCGTAATTGAGCACACATGAGCTAGGTGGTTCAAGCAGCCGTCCGACACAGTACCCTGCATCAATCGTTCATCTGGTCTTGCATGGTTTTTCCTGCCGTCTCTAGTCTCGCGTCTTTAAAAAAAAAATTTAATCATAGACATGGGCATGTGCGGACGCTACGACGCTAGCGTGCTGGTTACCAGCCATGCCGTCATGCTGTGAAACGAAACCATGTTTTTGCGCGGCGGGAGTGATTTTATGGGCTGAAGCACTCGCTCCTAAAAGCAACGGCCGTGGCCAACCATATTTGGTCCCTGCCTTCCAGTCACTGTGGTCGCACGACATCGGGTGTTGCCGTCCCCACGTCACTGCAGTAATGGCACTTTCTGAACTGAAACGTAAGGACAATCCTGTTCTTGTTTAATGCGCTACTACAAACATACCTTAAGCTCAAAGACTGCAGTGTCGAAGTATTGATTACCTAGGTTAATCTCGGTAGGCTTTCTTTCGAGACGTACCCGGGTACGTGAAAAATGAGCCGCGAAAGGAAGTTGGTGAAGAGAAGTGAGCTAAAGCAAAGAACGCAATGTCCGCATGCTGAACCCGCACAGCGTGCTTATTTTTTCTCGAGTTCAGTCGTTGCACAAACCGATCCAAGAACTTTTTGATCCTGGCTCGCGATGTCTTGCATCGATGCGCTCAGGTTTTTTTTTTTTTTTTTTCCTCTTTCTTTTTTTTTTTTCTTTCTTTCTTTCTGTGTTTAGCTTGTACCTCGTTTGCCGCCTTGGCAAGAACGTGCCGCTGGACTTTTTTTTTTTTTTTTCTCGTATGTTGGACAGTTACATTTTGCATACAATTTTGGGAATTAGTTGAGGCGGAGCGGAGTGGCATGGTTTCGATCGAACAGCCATCTCCGCTCGCGCGACAATTTTGCATTACAAGGCAGTAGTTACGTGCTTCATCAGTCGGAGATTGCTTCCATTTATTGTATTACTAATAAACCTAATAATGTGATATCTACTACTAAGCTGGTCATTTTCAAATAAATTTAAACATGTGGTCCGATATATTTGTATCACGTCCGGGTCACCAAATGTAGAAAAAGACAGACGAAAAGCGGCTACGTCTGACAAATTCCAAAATCGAGCTGATGTGGCACTTTTATTCCACGCGATCTTCTTTTTTCAATGGCTATCGCCACAAACTGAAGCATTACAAAATGTGTCATGTCATTGGCATTTCAGTTACATGTTGAAAGACTCCCAGGTGGTCTATGTTAACAATAATTGGTTGATTGCGGCGAGCAATGTGTCCTTCGTTTGTCCACTACTTGAAATGAATATATATTTTTCTCTACGGATATCTGCTCCAAAAGCCAGATTTGCTGTTCCACAACTCTGTTTTGGCTGCTCCAGAGGGTGCTCCAAAACGGCTTAGGCCAATCACATCACTGCAGTAAAGCGAGGTTACCCCTGCTCTAACTCGACAATACTTTGTGTGTTGAAAGTTGAAAATATGTGTTTTCTTGTACCCTGTCATCGTGTTTAGTGGCCGTGCTCTATGTTTTACAAATATTTCCAAATAAAAGTTATGCTTTGTCGTTTAGAGTCATGTTCGCAAGCGATGACTCAGTACGGCAAAAAGAAGCGAGTAACTTTATATATGATACTGACTAATGGCATATGATATAATTTATCTTCTCTAAACTTACTTCCAACTTAGTTTATCTTGACGCAGAAATTAATTTATTGCAATTACATACTTCACGCCACATTGTAATGTTTAATGTCGGAAGAGATTGTGCTCTTTATGTTTCCTCGGTCCTTTGAAATGAAAACATGGACAGAAAAGACACAAAGGAAAAGGATGGACAAGGCACGACTTTGTCCTTTCTGTCTCTTCTCGATTTTTATTTCTTCGATACCTGCATGTCAGTGCAACTGAAGGAAGAGTAAAGGCACAGGCAAGAAGGTAAATTTAAAACGTTGGTAAACTTTAAACACAAGAGGACAGAAATGAGACACGGAAAAGGACCACACACCCACCGTCTCAAAGAGTTCACAGCTGTGTTAGAGACTGCGTGTATTTTTTTTTTTTTTTTTCGTTTGTGTGTGCATCTCCTTTTTCGGTGTTTCTCGGGTTTAGAAACGTTACATTGCACTTTGCCTCTTGTTGATTGCGTGTAGTGTGAGCATCAAACTTACGTAACGAAGGTCATATCAATGAAAAGAGGGCTTCTTTCTTTTCAGATGCCAGGTGTCCGATACTTCCGGTGCCCAAGGTGTGCGTCCCACATTTTTTCGTTGAGGGCACTATTCAGGCACTTTCACTCAGTTCATGGGTACGAAAGCAACTGGGTGTGCGGCCTAAGTGGCTGCATGCGGACATTTAAACTCTTCGCTTCCTATAAAAAACATGTGTACAGAAATCACCCTGGATCAGTCGAAAGAGAAAGAGCCGTGGGAGCGAATGAACTGGTGGATGCAGCACCGAGTGTTGGGGATGCCTTTCAAAGTGATGACGTTGGTGTACAGAGTAATCCGGACGCAGAAGAAAGGCAAGAGGAGCTGCGTACAGAGACTTCACAAGTGTGTGAATCCACCCAGGGTCCAAGCGGCTGTGTAAAGCAGCTGGCTCTCCTTCTCAAGTGGAAAGAGGGAAGGCGACTTCCAGAATCAACCTTAGATGAAATCACAAATGATGTGATTTCTTTCGTAAAATCCATTTTGGAACATAAACAACTCCAGCTCAACAACGAGGTGGCCGCCAACGTGAGGGAGCTATTCTGTGTTGACGAACTGGACCGGCTACTGACGACAGCTGGCCGGAACGCGTTCTGGAGGACACATCTTCCACTTGTTGAGCCCCGTACAGTAGTGCTAGGAACCAACAGCAATGGAAAAGACGACACCATGGAGTATGTGCCGCTCTGTGATCTCCTCACGTGTATCCTTGAACATCCAACCTTATCGGGTGACTTTAATGCTTACACAAAGGTTGACAACCATATGTGTTCTGTGTTTGATGGCAGTGCATTTCGCGACCATGCCTACTTTGAAGGTGACCATCACAAAATCTGCCTGCAGTTATATACTGATGAATTTGAGGTGTGCAACCCTTTGGGCAGCAAAAGAGGAAAGCATAAGATGACCGCCGTGTATTTCTCAGTGCTGAATTTTCCTGCAAGGTTCCGCTCTGCGCTATCAGGAATGCACCTGGCACTTTTAGTGAATGACCACCATGTGGACTCCTATGGTCTGCCTAAGATTCTTGCACCTTTGCTTGAGGATGTGAGCAGATTAGAAACTGAAGGCATAGTTGCAAACGGAAAAGTGATGAGAGGGTCAGTCTTTGTTTTGACTGGGGATAATCTGTCGAGCCATAGAATGGGAGGCTTTAAACGTAGTTTCAACAAAGGTAGGATTTGCAGGTTCTGCATGGCCGTGCACTGTGAAATCAACTACAAGCACCTGGAGACCGATTTCGTGCTGCGCACACCGGAAGGTCACGAGCATCATATGAACATGTTGAAGGCTGGACTGCCAACTGCATCATTGTATGGGGTCACTGCAGCTTGTGCTCTTACATGCCAGGGGTTCAATGCCACACAGCATTTTCCGCCTGACGTTATGCACGACTTGCACGAGGGTGTTATACCATTTGCACTAAGACACATCATTTCTTCCTTAATATCACAAGGACTTTTTACTCTTGCACAGTTAAACAAGGAAATTAGTGAGTGGAATTATGACCCTTGTGATGCGCGAAATAAGCCAGAGCCTATTTCTAGTGAATTTCTTAAAGGAAAGGCAACCATGAAAGGATCAGCCACGCAGGTCTTTTGCCTATTTCGTCATCTAACCTTTTTCGTTGGCGAATGTGTTCCAACAGAACACGAAGTATGGCAACTTTACTTGCTTTTTCGCGAAATCATGGATATCATCATGAGCCGGAAAATCCCAGTCTCGCACATTGGCTACCTGCAAAGGAAGATTCATTTTTTTTGTCTCGACTTCAAGACATTGTTCCCATCTGTTAAAGTTCCTTGCAAAATGCACTACCTTATTCACTATCCGTCGTGCATGGAAAGGTTTGGACCATTAGTTGAACTTTGGGCGATGCGCTTCGAGGGAAAGCACCAATATTTCAAAGACATGGCTCGTAAAATCCGCAACTTTAAGAGTCTTTCGCACAGTCTAGCAGTGAGGCATCAGTTTTTGCAGTGTTTCTCTTTTGCAGCTGTTGGTGAGAAGAGCGTTCCCATCACAACAGGTTGTCGCCCCATACTTTGTGAACATCTTCCTGAATGCGTCAAGGAGTTTATCTCTCAGCATGATCTTGAAACTGTTGATTCATTCGTAGCGAACTCTGTGAGCATAGAAGGCAGGGTCTACAAAACAGGATGTGTTCTTGTCCAAAGTGTTCCTGACGATGCTCTGCCCGAATTTCTGCATATATGTCAAATTTTTTATGTTAACAAAGTGCTTTTATCTTTGGGGAATGTGCTTGAGACAGTCCGGTTCGACGAGCACTTTCACGTCTATGTTGTCCGTGCGACGCAAGAATTCAAAGTTGTAACATCACTGACAGACTGTACAACAGAACCATTATACATGCGGGAGCACAAAGGACAGACTGTTATAAGCGCACGTCACTCATTGCTATGAGATTTCATGGATCATTGAATGGTAGCCCACTCAGTTCTGGTGCTCTCTGCAGAAACTAGCTAAACAACGATGAGAGACAGTCGAAAAACAGGCAGTGAAAACAACTGTCACCTTTTCTCAGTTGACTCTTGCTGCGATAACTGGTTGGACAACACACACTGAGTAGAATTAGCTTTTTGATTGTTTAAAATGGTTGGACAAGACAGCTTATTTTTCTTGGTTTTTTTCTTTTGATAAATGTAAAAATAGAATGATGTCACTGTCGACAGTAAAGTCAAATGTCTCCTTTTTTCTCCTGGTTCTCCAGATTTTGTGTGATCTACACCAGGATACTGCATTAGCCCATATTTTAGGAAGTCTTATGTCTCGGACTGGTTTTTTATGGGTTCTGCTTCTTTATGTGTGTGAGTTCTTGTGCATGTCGTCATATTTTCAAATCAATATTTTTCATAGGTTGACATGGTAATGTGACAGGTTCTGGCAGCATGTCATGAATATTTGTCAAACATATTATATTTTGATTTCATGTTGTGTTGTCAGAAGTAAACTGGAGACTGATTTTCTTACTGCTACACTTCGATCAATAAATATTTGTAAAAAATGATAGCATTCAGAATTTCTCCCTGGTTTCCAATTTTTTGTGGATGGAGTAATTTTTAAGAAAATTGAATATGAACTCGTATAAAATTTTGTGAACACAAAAAATTGCACGCAGGAGAGGCACTTTATTATCAACTATTTGCATGAATTACAACTAACATTATAAAAAACGACTGCTAACAACCGATGTTTTTAAGCATAAATTTAACCTATACATTTATGGGGAGGTCCACATATAAGGTTTCAGAAATCCTTTCATATTATTATTTAGCACCCTCTTCTACACCCTTCTCACACCCTCCACTAAATGGAGGGTGTAACACGAAACAACACCCCTCTCGGTACAATAATGTGGGTGCAGTAGCTGATTTAAGGGTGCTAAAGGGGTGTAGTCAAGGGTGTAAATTGCCAAAACACCCCTTTTACACCCTTAAAGGTGTAAAAACTTTTAGTGTGTAATGACTTCCCGCGTCCTAAGTGTCGTGGCGAGCTTCTTGATCTTGCGTACTTGTACGCTAGGGCTATTTTGCTTCGACACTCTTTCACCGCCTCCTGTGAATCCGTAAAGATCCTGAGGTTCCCTGGGAGGTCGGTGGCTTGAGTGACGACGACCGTCTCTACTGGAAGGCGGATGGCTGCCAGTTCTCCTCCCTTTGTCGACACCGTAGGGGGCAATGCTTCAATTGCCTCGAGTCGAAGTGCTGGGAATACCACGGCAGCCGACTTGAAGGTGACGGGGCCTTCAAGCGATGCAGTGTCCGCATAAGCAGCAACTATACGGTCTTGCTTTGCTTCCAGCTCTCCACCATTTTGTTGTGTGCTTTTACCCTGCGGGCCAGTTGTTTGGTGTCCTCTTTCGTGCATGCCCTTAGAGGGTTGCTGCTTGTGATGGCCGCGAGGTCTTCCCACGAAGGGAGTTGCTTCTGCCGCTCTGGGAGGCCATCTACCAATTTTTTTAGGTTCGCATGATGCCTCTTCTGTCGTGCGTGTTCCTTCTTGCATCCATGACGTCGTGCAATTTGTTCAACTGCGCGTACTGCCTCAGTTTGACGAGAGGAGTGAAACGGGGCAGTCCAGTGATAACTCTCGTAGCGTGGTTGTTCAAAGCTTCGAGACGTTCCCATTGCCTTGCTGTGAGCCAATAGTGGCGTGCTCCGCAGCATACCCGGGATACTACGAGAGCCTTGACCATTTTTTTTGGCAGTGTCTTGTGACGCTCCTCCGTCGGATCATGCTGAGCATTGAGTTGCACTATTTGAGTGCGTCGCGGAGCCACACCCAAACAGTTATTTCTTGTTTTGGCGTTGTTAGGCTTAGGTGGACGTCGGCTCAAAAAAACTTTTCGTGTTTCTCAATTGTCTTTTGATCCAGGTAACGCCATGTTCTCAAACTTCCGCGTTCTTTCCGGTGATGCGTAGTTTATTTACCCGGGCTGAGAAAACACGATTCTTAAATCTCGAAAACTAAAACGTGGCCCCCCAAACACACACGCAAATAATAAATTCTTCTTTTTAACCGAAAAAAAAAAAAATAGCATCACCATACGCTCATTCTCCGCCCAAACGTAGTGCTAGAGGTCTGAACCAGAAGCCAAAGTTTCAGCACTGACCGTTATCTTATGCAAAAGTTATAACTGATTTTCTGAAACTTTCAATGGGAACATGGGGCCCATATTCGCCCGTCTTCGGTAACTGGCGCCGTAGAGCTCGATGTATTCAAGAGGTCGGTCTGCTTCCATTTTTCCGATATAAATTTAAAAAAAAAGTCATTCATAACATTTGAATAAGATAAGGGTTAGTGCTGAAACCTTGGCATCTGGTTCGGATCTCTAGGGCTACTTTGGGTGGAGAAACAGCGTTCGGCGATGCATATACTAATATTTTTTTTTTGCACTATATATATGTGGGAGTGCTTCCTCCGACGCCGTATGACGAGTGAGGCCTGTGTGCAAATCACTCCTCCGACGCCGGAAGTGATGTAGACCCGTCAGAGGAGAGACGGCCGTGTGGAAGTCACTCCTCCGACGCCGGAAGTAACGTGAACATGATTGTAAACCTGAGACTGGGGCAGGAAGAGAACACAACAGAAGGTAGTAAAAGAGGAGGAAGTAACGTATCATCCACGGCCCTGGATGTTGCCTTTGTTGTGATACGTGCCCTACCATGTGCGCCTCGCGTCTGGCCCTGTAGGCTGTAGTTCCGCCTGCCCCGTACTGCACGTATGTACTTACCATTCCTTCCTGCCCGCGCTGCCGTCGGCTCCAGTCACGCAAGCTATTTTGACTAATTTTCGCACTATTTGAAGCGTTTTGTTTAGCATTTATGCCCAGAGTTTCGGTAGCCGGCGATTCGATGGTGAAGTGCTTGCACCAGTACTTCCGATTGAATAACCGGATGGCTGCTGAGGTTGCGGCGTTTAGTGACATTAGGATCGAGCAGTTGTTTTCCCAGGCGTTTGAGAGGCGACCCGATTTTTATCCTGTCATCCTGCACGTCGGCACTACTAACCCCAATACTAGTGCAAGCGTCTACATCGACAAATATTGTCGTCTTGCTGCCCAGCTCTGTGAACCCAACCCAATGAGGCGATCGCCTTTTCTGCCGTTCTTCCAAGACAGAAGAATAGGTCCTGTTCATTGAAATGGCAGCGTAGTCACGCTGCAGAGATCCAGGCTCTGAATAATCGATACTGAGAGGTGAACTCGCTGCTGCGGGAGTCGTGTCGCAGGGAAGGTTTCAGGTTCCTCGACGGGCTGGCTGACGAGTGGCACCAGTGGATCGGCCGCGACGACATCCACCCAAGCCGGATGGGCGACAAGGTACGAACGTGCATTATGCCGCTGCACTAAAGAGCGCGACGATTGCCAGGATGGCCGTAAAAACGTGACCTGAAAATTGACCCGCGGACATGGCGAGCCAGAATGTTGGTTGGATCCAACACTGCACAAAATGGAAGGTTGACCGGTCTTTATTGTCAAAAACCGAGGATGAAAATAAATAATAGGTTCGGTGAAGTCCACGTTTCCGGGTTGAAGAAAGCGTAGTGCAGCTCGGCGAGGAACGCTTTGGCAGTGCCGTACCAACTTGTTTTTAAGTGGGAGAGCAAACCAAACACCCCACCGCCCCCCAAAGGGCCGGCGACGGTGCCCTTGGTATCCCTTGAGCGCCGCCGGCCAGTGTTTGCCCTGCCCAGTGGCTGCTGTTTCCGGAATGGCAAAACACCATGCCTTCCCCCCCCCCCCCCCCCCCCCCCCCCCGCCACTCTGAAAACTGGGGGGCGGGGGCGCAAGCGCGCCCTTGCTTCCCATGCGCTTCAGCTGTCTCATGAGCCAGTGGCGACAGTTTAATCGCCTTTTCAGAGCTAGCATTCGTGCGAGGTGAAAGATTAGCCGCTGGCGTCTGTCAGCATCAGTGAAGTCCTCAGCTTTTCTCCCCCTCGCGTGAAGAAAGGTGCTCACCCATGTTTCCGCGTTGCACAGGTGAAGTCCTGATAGGACGTGGCAGCGCTCCCACCCAGGAAGTCACAACAGTTAAACATTTTCGAGGAAGACGTCCCGCCATTTTAACTATTGTGCCCTGCGCAGCGGTTTTCTCTTCCGTCTGGTTTTCCCTGGGTGCCTTCCGATCGCTGAAATGCATCTTTCTGTCCTCAGTGTACGTACATACCCCAACTGGGAATGGGAAAATAATTTAAACTCCAACTCCAACACCCGTATTCACCAGGCGCGAGTAGTGCCTGTTTAACCACTGACTAGCGACGTCATCGACTAAAATGATCACGTGGCAAGCGATAGTCGCCGTTAAGTGAGCGCTTGGTATTCACCGGTCGTGTTTAGGGCCTAGTCGCCCCGTGCGACTAAGGAGTCGACTAACAAATCTTAGTCATGGGGTAGGGCTAGTTTGGCCGGTGTTTAGCAGGCGACTAGCGGCTTAGCGCCATGGCCGACTCGTATCACCGCTGACCGCCAGCGCTATAACAAAGCACTTACTGTCTCGGAACGCTGGGGGACATATCTAGAAAGAATCGGAGGAGCAAATATTGACTAAATAGCCATGTTCAACGGCCAGAGACATTGCTAAAGCGATCTCGGCAGGGCGGTGGACGGCGCGAAGAAACGCATTTACGGGCGCTTCCATATTCGTTTATGTCGCTGGCAATGCGGCTTCCGTGTTTCTCCCTGGCGTTGTTTTGACATTTTTCGTTGTAAAACTCTGTCTAAGACAATATGTCTCTCATTGTAACTTTTTTTTCCTGATAAACATTTAAATATTAGTTTTTATAGGATAAAATACCCATTTACGCAGCGGCGTTGAAGTTCGCGTGCCCGTGACCTATCTTTTTGTGTCACTTCCGCTTCTTAGTTCTGACTAGATAGTCACCCGCTCGCTTCGCGCTCGTGA